GTGTGTGTGTGTGTGTGTGTGTGTGTGTGTGTGTGTGTGTGTGTGTAAATAAAAGATAAATGTGTGTCTGTTTGTGTGGGTGTGTGCTTTTCTTTGTAGTCTGTGAGGGTTTACAGTCTGCAGGTGGTTCAGGTTCAGTAATGTGAGGCCCAGACAACATAGAAGAGATACTGTAGCAGCATGACATGGTGTGTGTGTGTGTGTGTGTGTGTGCGTGTGTGTGTGTGTGTGCGTTTGTGCGCGTATGACAGGATGTTCTGCTTGTGCTACATTAAATTTGTCTCCTCCCTCAGGACTGTACGGTGTTTGAGACGGAGAACAAAATCCTTCATGTGGTAAGTTTCACTTCCTAGCCCAGATGTCGCATCTCGGTCTCGATTCCTTCACAAACACTCAAAAATGCACAAAATATTTTTTCCTTTTTCCAAAAGATGGGGATAAACAGCGCTAATGCTTTTGTGCTCAGTTTGGAGCTAGAGGTGATTAGCATACATTAGCTTATTTGTTGCATTTAAAGCAATAAATGTAGTTTTAGGAATGTCCCCAGKAACATCTACTTCTAGTAAAACCTTTGAAATGAGTAGATGCGTGGTTTTTAAATGTTTCCTGTCAGCTGAAGTGTGAAGAACCTTTTTAGCTGCAGACATTTTGATTTGTCAAACACTAATTAATGGAACAAAGCTATCACTGATGCCATTAGTTTCACACAGCCTTTCTATGTTGTGACAAATCACCGTTTCAGCCATGAGCAGGACCCGAGTTTAATTCATCAGGGAATAATTAAGAGACAGGAGCACCCTGATGCCAAAGACACATTTAGAGAAATGACACAATACATACTAGATTGACAAGATTTTAATGGCTCAGGGAATGAAAAATGACAGTACCTGCAGGACTAATTTCTAATAGGTTGCTGAGAGTTTGTCTAGAAATAAGTTTTGTAACTTGACTCCAAAAATTGAGTCAGCAGTTTTTTATTCAAACTTCTCTTTTCTGGGGAAATGAAGTTTTAAAGTTGTTGCTCTTCTCTTGTGTCATCCAAAATGTTTCACTTAAGTTTTATTAAGAATGAATTTCCAGTGCAGTGAGGGCTGGAATTAAGTTCACCTCTATTATATGTGGGGTTGATATAGTTGCTTTACCAATATTTGTGAAAAMAAACTGATTTTTCTTGTGGCTTTGTAAAAGTCTGAAGCAGTGATCGTATTGTCTATGTTAGGAAGGTTAATTGTACWGCAGCAGGAGTGCAAACAAAACACAGTAAAAGAAAAAAATATATATATAATAGTTGGATTGCTGTCCTTTCATCTGAAACACAAATTGATTTCCAATGAAAAGGAAAAGAAAAAGAGCTTGCAAAAGAAAATATATTTTATTCCCTCTCAATAAAGTCYCAAGAAAAGCAACGTCAGCTCTCTGGAAAAGTAATAAAGTGCAAATTTGACAAACAAGAAGCACACGCTGTTCTCTAATAATAAACCTTAATCTATTGTTCATTCTCACTTTTTTTCCTTCTCTGTAGTGTAAGACTCTGTCAGAAGTGTGTGAGCATATTGTGTGTGTGTCGTCGGATCCTCTGGTTTCCCAATCTGCCCACCTTGAGCTGGTCCACCTCACCAACATCAAATCATCTGAAGGCCTGGTAATGGTCTCTGTTGGTCTGTCTGAGTTTGTTGCAGCCTTCTACGTGGGTCTATTTTGTCATCAACTCAATCATTTGAGAACAAATATGCAGTATACTTTGTAAAGTAACAAAGTAAAAATACATTTTTTACTGTACTTAACTAGAAATTTTAGTTACCTTAAGTCATTATTTTTCAGCCTATATTTTATGTTTACTTCATACATTTTCACCGAATTGTCTTTAATTTTTAGTCCTTCCCTTAAAATAAAGATGACCGTGGCAGAAATWTGCAACTGAAACAGGTAGACTGTCCTAATTTTTTCAAGATTAACATTTTAATATAACATTATAGTCATTATGTTCTTCAAAAAATAAATGTTTTTTGGTGGGGATGGTCACTTCCCAATAAATGTCATTTTGGGAATTCACAACAAAACAACTCACTTTTAATATGTAAGTACATTTTATATCATATTTTATGCTTTTTTAAATTGGCATCCTTTTTTTAGAAGGTGACTTATGACAGTCAAAGGTTTTCTCTTGCTAGTTTTTCCATTGTAGGCACAACTCCTACATTGGTTTTGTGGCACCTGGTATTCAATCAAAGGTGGTCTTCCATTTAAGAACTAACCAGGCCCAACACTGTTTAGCTTCCAAGACAGGGTGGTATGGTCATAATACTTAGGTACAGGAAACGTCAGGTATTTTAAGACTTTTATTCAAGTAATATTCTAGAGAATACTAACTTTTACCGAAGGAATTTCAAGGTAATATACTTGCACTGTTCTTCAAGTATCACTTTGAGGCACTTTTACATGTTTTACAATTACGGTAATATGTTTACAATTCAAACTACTCCAAAGCATGCTTTTGGCATTTCAAAGTGGGGTTCTGTGGAATCATGAACATTTAATATGATACTTGCTGCAGATAGCTTTGAATAACCTCAGTTGGGGAAAATATCTTGAGTTCAACTTGAGTCTTTAAAGCTTTTATAGCAGTCCATAAAACAGGATTCTATTGGCTGGACCTCAAAGCTAGAACAACTAAACTTACAAAATAAAAGCAGCTGGAGGATTCTGATCAAGTGTGAGCTTTGTTGGGSAAACATCAAAATTTTACCAAAATAGTTCTGGTTAGGGTTATTAAAAATATCTTCCTACCCAATATGTGACATCACCAAGTACCCCAATGTCAGTCAAACAGGACATCAAGCTGTAGTTATGGCTTGTGCCAATAATAATAAAAAAAACAGCTGAAAAATGGAATGGTGCTGCTACAGGACTCGCAATTGTGAGAAAAAAAAAGTTTGGCATATGTTTTTTCCCCAAAATAAAAATACCGCAGCATGCTGCATACTGAAACTTTTCTTCCCATTTTTGTTGTAATATGCAAGGCACAGTAGGSAGTAGTTCCCAATGTTTGTACTTGAACACAAACACAAAGAATATGAGGCTGAGTGGTAGAATATTTTAAAACACTTGAGATCCCCAAAATACCATTACCATTCTGGTGTGCTCTAATGTAAAAATAGTCTAAAATAGATTACATCTAAAACTACCAAAAAAGAAAAAAAAAAAAAAAAAGAAAAAGTTATTTTGGTTCCCAAGCCAAAAATTGATTGTTGTAATAAGAGAACTGGCAAAATCATTATTCATCCTGCTGCTGAAAGCCTATGCATTACATAGTGAATCAATGGCATGCATTTCTTACAAAATTATCTGTCTGTTTTTCACCAAGGCAAAAAAGCATAAATCAGCACAGAAACACCACATCACATGAATGTCACGTGTTCTTTTTTTTATTAATTACATTGTAGCRAACGTGAGTTGTATGGTGTATCTGTCTACAACCAAAAGTCAGTTTTGGCCTCAGTAACATTGTTTTTGTTTAAGTTGGCATAGATAAATACATTGAAGTTGACCATCACACATGTGTACTGCTGCATTTTTTGGGCTGACATCTGGGACTTTAGGGATTCCCCACAATTCTTGTGACATCATCCCTGATCAATGCAATTAGTATCTTCATCAAAGTCTAAGACGACTTTTTTTTTAAATTTTACTTTATTAATCTTTACATTACTGTTTCCATGCACTACATAATAGTATTAACTTTTTTCTTGACTGTTTAAAGAGCTATCCACAACAGGTGTTCATACAGTAATATTTTCACAGGTCACCACTTAAAACATCTGAAATATCCCTCCAACTTTTGTGATTAATACTCATATTTGTTTTTTTTACTGTGGCACAACTGTTGACCATAAAAACAAACAAAAACACTTCTAGTAAAGCTATGTTGCATGTATTTTTCAAATTGTGTATTAGAGAAGATTGATTAAAATTWRARWRAMWTATTTATTTATTTATTTATTTATTTATTTACTGCAAATAGAGTTTATGGTAGCATGCTAGTTTTATGTAAATAGCATTTCCATTTTTAGACAGGACTGGCACTGACATTAAAAATGTCACTATCTGATGTTAAACATTATCCAGAAATAATCTAGACAATTAATGGGAAAAAAAACTATTCCTAAAAACCTGCCCTACTCCGTACACAAACAAAAGGCTTTTTGCTTTTAGTTATTGTCTCAGACTAAATGGTGACGTTTCTTCAGATCCATCTGCTAGATGAATGACAATATCAGTTTAGTCATACAAATAAGAGAGACACGACACTCTACCATCACTTCAGCAAAATAAAGTTCAGAAAATGTTAAGATATTAATCTCTGTCTCTGACAGAAACTGGCTTAGAAGAAAATAATCCTGTAGAGGGTAAGTTTTTCAAACATTTGCAGCCAACATTAGCTCAGATAGGAGTTGAGTCGAGGACACATCTGATCTTTTGATCAAGGTCTAGCGGTTTCAAAGAAACTACAACTGAAGAAGAAGAGGACTGTCTGGACTTCAGACCAGGAAATAATAATCTTTGCTTTGTTCTGAAATTTGTGAAGTGCAAAGAAAATGGTCTTTGAGATGAGAGATGCTCTCCTGATTAAACTATTTACTTCTATTCTGATCACGAGTGAATACTTATGAGGACCCCTACAGTGAGAAACATTTATCTCCATCTGGTTTGAGCCTAGTGCAACCCTGCCAGGCTCCCTAAGTGTAATTAATAAAAAAAACTTTTCGAAATGTGATTATTTCTGTAAGACTTTTTCTTTCTGTTTGTCCTTCAGGGGATGTACATTAAGTCAACCTATGATGGGCTCCATGTGATCACAGGAACCACTGAAGGGGTAGGAGGCTTTTAAGGATGTGTCTTCTTTTTTACCAAACCCTGGGGGCACAAAAAAAAGGATCAATTCCGGCTTAGAATTTCAGCAAATCTGGCAACCTAACTTTCCATTACAGGCTCTCAGATTACTTATGAATGATTCTGCTGGGTTCCCTGCTATGTCAATGATTATTTAAGTACGGTTTGTTGTGAAACTTCCCAAAAAGTGTCAGAAAGGGATCAATAGGCTCYAATGGATTCATCATCCTCTGTTTGCTCCCTATCTCTCTGTGTTTTTAGTCCCCGGCTGATCGCTGTAAGAAGATCCATGCAGGGGATGAAGTCATTCAAGTTAATCACCAGACTGTGGTAAGATTATTGTTAGGTTGTTTTGTGTTGTTGGATAGTTGTACAATTAAAACTCCGTAAGTAAAAAAGGTAAATCATTTTTTAATGATCACAAATACAGTAAGATTCACATACAAATGATTTTTAAAACGACTGTAATCAGTCTTTCAGTAGTGATTCTTTTGTTTATTTTTTGCTGAAATATTTTTTTGTTTGATATGACAACAACAAAACCCTGTCATATTTCTGATTAACAAAAGTAGGAAAAAAACAAGCAAACAAACAAACAAAAAACAAAACATCAAACACTAAATCTTGTTCAGTATGCCCTCATCCTGGATTTTATTCATAACAAAACATCTGTGTGCATATTTGTGTTTACGACAGTGGCAGTTCTAGAAAATTTTCCATGTGTGTGTGGGGTGGCGGGGGGTGGGGCAAAAGCTCTAAGGCCGGATGGCAATGCAGGATCACTTCATTGAAGTACTGTACATAAGAAATTTCCTATGTCTAGAGTCAACAAAACATCCATAAAACACTTTGATACATTTATTGTCCTTTCTCTCTTCCAAGAAAATACAGTGTGTATATATATATATATATAT